GGTAAAAAATTATAACTTTTAGCCCCACGGAAGGCAAAAGCCCTTTGCCCAGCCGCGATCCTGCACTTGGGCAACGTAAGCTCGCTCTTCTGTCTGGTATCTCTTTGGTGAATTTCGGAACGTTGTTTAAATCGTTCACAGAGATAGTTAGGAGTCAAGTTGTTGATGCATTTATAAACCATGACTAAGTCATTAAAAAGTAGTTTTTTCTTTACGTTAAGCCATTTAAGGGACTTCAGTGCCTCTGTGATGTGATCGTACTTTTTCAAGCCAGTCACGATCCTGCAAGCATAGTTCTGGACTAACTGAAGTTTTTTGATATTCTTATTACTTGTGTTGCTCCAAACTGTCGAACAATAAAAAAGTTTGCAAAAGACGAAAGCATTTATGAGGTATATCAGAGTGCTTCAATCCAGTAAATGTTTTATCCTATTGACTCTTGTTTTATGTCTCAATTTTCTTCCATGAAACTGCATTTACCAATTTCAAAGTGAGTAGAAAATTAAGGAATACCTTTTAAGAATAATTTTCACTTTCCTTGTAAATGTAATGGTTGTTTAGTGAGAAATACAACAGCGATGATATAGAATAAGAAAGATGGCAAGTTTTGAGCTTGGTAAAGAAATATAAAAAGATGTTTTTTGTCTAGTCATGAGAATAAGACAAAGAAAAATTCAAGACACGTGTCAAATATGAACTTGGTAATGGGCTTTGCTCACCACTGACTGAGTGTCAGTGGCTCAGTGGTAAAACATAGTATGGAATCCAAAGGTCTGAGGTTCAATTCCTCTTGGGAATTTTTTCTATGTCCCACACTTTAGTAAAACGATCTCAAAGACGTGGTCGATCCCTTAGAGAGTTGACATGATTAAGTCGACCACATGTTAAGACCAAAATAATGTGGTCAGGCTTCTTTTAAGTTCTCGGCTGCTAGTGCCTGGAAGAAATTGCCAAGAGAGATACGTGAGCTGAAATCACTTGCACAGTTTAAGGTCAGAACTTTTACTTACGTAATGATTAAGGATAAGGCCGATCATATTTGTAAGGTCAATGCTTAGTTCTTCATGAGAGTTTTTGTCATTATGGTAAGCCGTTGTTTTTCATGTTAATATTCTTAATAATAATTATATTCTTATATTGCTTGTCACCGATTAATACCAGTCCATCAACCTTTGTTGACAGACTAACCAGTTTTTTCTACCAGGATAATTAAAGTTATTATTGTTATTATTATTATTATGACTAGATAAAAAACATCTTTCTATAGTGATAGCATATTAGATCTCTAAAGCAACATATATTTTCCTGGGGTAAATAATGTCTCAATTTACTTGTAACTGACTGTGGCATAAGATAAAACTCAACTGCAAGTTTACCAAAGAATTGACATTAAATATCAATTGAACATCCATAATTGTGATTAATTACTGCAGTTTCGCAACTTATTGTCAATAACATTCTTGTTTTGTTGTGGTAGGATTCCACCATCCCTAGTGTAGCCTCTACATCACAGGAAGGTCAGGAAAACAGGACACTGAAAGTCACTCTTCTGAGTAATGAGTGGAAATCGTCAACTGATGGAGAATTGTCAACTATCAACCGAGAGCTGGCCATCCAGTTGGCTAAACACCCCAATGTGGATGTGAGTGTCTTGCTACCAAGTTGCAGCAGAGAGGACAGGAGCAGTGCTAAGAGTCACAATGTGAAGCTCATTGAGGCACAGAGAGTTCCTGGTGTAGAACCAGTTCTTTGGTTGTCATCTCCTCCTAGAAACCATACAATGGACTGTGTCATTGGTCATGGAGTCCACCTTGGTCGACTTATTACAC